GCAAAAGATACATTGAGACTGGCCTGCAGTTAGCGAGGCTATTCGAGGCAGGCCAGGCTACATAATTTACAACAAACTAGACAAATACAAAGAAATTAGGCGTTATATAGGTATATACATTTTACATTAAATAGATACGTTCTACTTAAATGCAAGGACAATAATTAAAGTGAAATTTTAAAAATAAAATAAAATGAAAATAAAGGACAAGAGAATTACTTTTTCATTTTCACGGTGATCGTATCCACATCAATATAGGAGTCTTCAGTTTCAAGGAAATCGAGTAGCATTTCTTTTAGTGATCTTTTAAAAGCTTTTTTCGGTCTTTCTTTAAGAATTTGAGGTATCCCATTCCAAATTTTGACCCCAACACGCGAAAAAGCATTTCGTTTGACATTGAGTCGAGATTCTTTAGTATAAAAATGTTCAGAGGTTGAGGCACGTGTGTTGTAAGTATGAACACTAGAAATTCGAGAGAAGAGTTTCGAAATATTAACCGGAGCAGTGTTTTTATTTACATCATACATAAGACTACAAACGGATTCATAATATAGAGACTGTAAAGGTAGAATTTTTGCATTGACAAAAAAAGGTATTGCGTGGTCGTTTGTTTCAGCAAAATATATTAAACGCAGTGCGCGTTTTTGAAGGACAAGAATTTGGTCAAGGAAAGTTTTACACGCGTTGCCCCAAGAGATAAGACCATAAGTTAGATAAGGTGTAATAAGTGACTGATAAATATTTAAGAGGGTGCAAGTGGGAACAATATGTCTTAATCTCGCAATTAGCCCAATTGTTTTACTTATTTTATTTGCAACAGAGTGAATATGGGTCTTCCAAGATAGATTTTCATCAATTAACAGTCCAAGATATTTAATAAAGTTTTTGCGTTCAAGGGTAACCTTTTTATTGCTTTCATTGTCAAAAATATTGACCTGGGGATCATAGTTGAGTTTTTTTTGGTATGGACGAAAAATTACATAGTTTGACTTTTTAATATTCAGGGAAAGTTTGTTTGAAGTCAGCCAGTTATACAAGTTGTGTAATTCTGCATTTACTGTTAGTTCCAGTGTCTTTAAATCTTTATGAGCATAAAGAGCATTAGTGTCATCAGCAAAAAGGAAAAATTGGAGTTTGCTCGAACAATATTGGATGTCATTTATATAAAGCAAGAAGAGAAGTGGACCTAGGACAGAACCTTGGGGTACGCCGCAATTGATATTTAGTTTACTAGATATATGAGAGCCGATTTCAGTGCTTTGTGTGCGATTTGATAAATAAGAGGAAAACCATTGATTGACAATTCCACGGAAGCCATAATAATTTAGTTTATCAAGTAAAATAGTATGATTCACAGTGTCAAAGGCTTTTTTTAAGTCAATAAAAACACCACATGAAAAGAGTTTTTTGTCCATATTGGTTTGTATAGATTCTACCATATCAAGGATAGCATGTTGGGTTGAGTGAGCTTGACGAAAACCATATTGAGACGAATATAATAGGCTGTGCTTTTCAATAAAGTCTCTCATTCTGTCGTAAATGTTCGCCATTTTTGTCTTCACAACCAAAACAACTCAACCTCGTCCCCAGGTCTTCTCGGTTAATGGTGCATTAACCTGAAAGGAGGCTGCACTTTTGACGTAATCGGTTCATTAAACGCAAAAATTCTTCCAAATTTGGTCATCAGTAGCTGGTTATGGTGAATTATGCGTGTGCTTTTAGCCAATCAGAATCGGGGAAATATTTAAATGAATAATAAGAACAATTAATCAATCTAACCATCCACCAGTCAATTAAACAGTCTTTATATGGGTGATGTTGAATAACAGGAGCCCATCAAATGGAGCCTCCATCTCCATTAATTTCTTGAGTCAACCCTTTCCCGAGTAGATTTATAAATAGAACGACTTGTTTCCCGCGAAAAGTGTCATATTTCCGTGAGTCTCGTATGTCACCGTGAAAAAAAGTTGGATGAAGTCGAACTCAGAAGCCCGTCCTTCGACCGTTTTCCTTTTTTACTATACGTCCATTTTTACAATTTTACAGCCGCTGAGATCTGGGTGTCATGAAATAAAAGTTAATGAATTACCCGACTGAGACTGAGCACGAAGCGATGGGACAAAGGCAGCGAACTGAGGATCACAGAAAGGTTATCTTTGCGAGTGTTTTTTTTTTCTGCCGCCATACATCCCACATTTAAGCATGAGCCTTGAAAAGAGTCGACGATTAAGCGTTCTGTGGACGATTTGGAATTTGTCGATGAACAGCGCCGAGAAAGTGCCAGGATTATTTGATTTTTTGTCATCACCGTGGAGTGGATTTCGCCAGTTAAGCACCGCGTGCAAAAGCGATGACCTAAGAAGCAACTAACGAGGAATTCTTCAGTTCCGAAATTTGAGAAATTGCAGTCTTCCTTTACAACTGACTTGTATCAACTTGAGAGTTGCCTGATAAAACTGGCACTTGAAAAGTTGAACAGAAGAAAACAGTTGCTTGACCGTGAATAATTTGCTAACAGAAGAATTTGTGACATCGCGCTCAAGTCCAAAGACCCACTTATCTCAAGAAAAACAAAATGGATTGTATCCACGCCAAAAGAATTATGACTGACTAACAGGACAATTCTCAGCAGTTAATGTAGAAGTTTAGGCTCAATTCTTTTCTTCGAATTCGCATCTGTAGATCACTTTTTTGCGAGAAAACAATGGCTGGGCCCGGCGTTACAAAACATAGCAGGGAATCATCACACTAGCTGACGGGCAAAACAACCGCAAGGGCTACAAGTATTTATTCAGATAAACGCATTTCGGAAAAAAAGCCTTGAAAAACTAGAAATTTGATTAATATTGAGTCATTTAGCCGAAATGAGAACCTTAACGCTCAAAAAAATTGGCTAAAGAAAACGAATCCTGTCAGAACTACAGACTGCAGGTAGTAGTTAATCATTATGCATGTAAGAGACCAGCTTCATGGCCTCTTAATGTGAGACAAGCAACCAAAATTAAGATTAAGATAGTCAGAGTGTAAAACTCTCCACAATATAATCTACCCACTAGAAAGAAAAGAAAGAAAATCTCCGAGGGATGAAAACGCTGAAGTCACATTTCACTGGCTTATGATTGTGTTTGGCCTGTCAACACCAAATTTCCTGCTGTTTTGTGAAGTACAATAGCAGTGTCATTTCGTCGTTGTGATTGGCTCTTCCCACCGTCGGCGCGCGAAGTCTCCCCTGGGAACCGTTCTAATTATAAATCTACTCGGGAAAGGGTTGACTCCAAGGGCTTGTATGGGAGATGGAGGCTCCATTTGATGGGCTCCTGTGAATAACTAAGGTCAGGGACAAAAGGTATGTAGGCAGGTGATGTCGCTGCATTGGTAGAATCAATTCCCGATGAAGACTCGACTAGAAGACTAGAAGAGTAGTGACAAAAAAGGTTTCATTGACTTTGAGCGATGCTTTCCTCAACCAACCGGTTGGGGGTACTCAACAAAGTTTTGTACGGGGAGGCTGCGCCCATAGGTCCAACCTCTTACCCTTTTGCATACCATTTTTAGAGAAAATGTTACCCTTTTTTTTATAGTGTACCTTCTGTTGACAATTGGTCCCCCTTTCATATACCTAGTTTAGAACTTTCCATTCCTTTTAACTGCTGTAGATTCCCTGACTTTAAAATATGAATAAGCCACAAAACCAGAAAGTTTTCTCGCCTTTTTCGCAGCCATAAAATGTATCTGTCAGCCCTTTTGGGCCTTTTTATCACCGAAATGACAGATTCCATACCCTTTTATATACTTCAACTGGTGAAAGTCCTAGCCTTTCATATACCTGAAGCCTGAAAAAGGGTACCCCTCCAAGGTGGCCAGTTTTAAATAACAGAAGAATCTTGATAGTAGCTGCATTTTATTTTGTGGCGGCAGTAAAGAACACGAGAAGTTAAAAGCGTAAAATTAAAGAAAGCTCGTCTTCAGCTGTTGGTAACTATTTTCTAGATGCTAGAGGCAACCAGATAGCGACTAGAGCACGAAATAAGTGCAGTGGAAAACGCGAGACGAAGTCGAGCGTTTCTTCCTACTTCTTGAATCCTCTGGCCGCTTCTTAAGTGCCTTACATTAGAACAATCAAGGCTTCTTAATCTGTTTTATGATGAAGAATCCGTTAAATTCCTCGCGCATTGCCTTCTAATTTTCAAAACATTAACTATTGGTAGATGGCGTGACAGCTTTAGCTCCGTGTTTTATACTCTCATAATGCACGCTTTTTCAACCAATCAGAGTGCGCGTTTATATTATCTGAACTTTATTATAAATACTAGTTATGCAATGACTTTGAGTGGCATACTGTGAAATATTCCACGAGTGACTCGTTCTTTCTTAGTATTTCTTAGCCCTTTTTGTGTAAACTTAACTATAGTCTAATTTCGTGCCTGTAATGGGTGTAAAAATGATAGGTTATTTTTCTATTGAGTGCTACATTTTAATGTTAAAGATTACTAGTGTTCATTAAAAACGAAAATGGAGAAAAAAGGCAAAAATCATTTATCTTTCTGTCACACACACGAGGATTTCGACATTGCTGATCCTAGCAGTACGCAGGACGCAAGTCATAAATAAACCCAGCTCGCCATGAGTCCTTCGTAGCTCAGTGGTTAGAGCATCCGACCGGTGTAGGGAAGTTCATAGGTTCGATTCCTGTCGCGGACTCAGATATTTTCTTTGTCCCGCGCTCGTGACATGTTGATCACATCACTTCTCACAAAAGAAGTAATCCTCCTTTTTCTTGACAAAGCTGTAAATGTGCAAAACTAAGATGTGGATAAATTCAAGTGCAAATCCCCCATCTACTTTATGTTTCGGCATGTTCTGGGAGGTTGTTCAATTCAATTTTCAGGCAATATTTTTAATAGGGCGAGATAGTCCATCAATAAAATGGTGCGATTGTCGCCGGATTTACTTCTTTTGGAAGTAGTGGTCTTAACTTGCTTACCTTTAGTTATGGCTCTTATTTTCATTTCTTTAACCCACTTGCTTTCATTATCATCACGATAATAGGCAACGTACACGTCATCTTCTTCTTTAGGGTCTGCTGACACCTGAGCAAGCCCAAAATTACCAGGAAACATCTCGTCAAGCTTTTCTTTTTCCTTCTTTTCCCAATCATTGTAGTCATCTTGATTTCGACCATCCCCATACTGAATGCCCAGCTTCACCATCCAAATATCCTTGTTCTTAAAATCGGTATCCTCTGCAGGGTTTAAATGGTGAACAAACGCCATCCGCTTACGTTGAGGAAACTTATATTCTTTCTTCCCCTTGACATGAAACAAAACACGGAACTTCCCCTCAGAAAGATAAGAGTGAGACGTTTTGTCATCTTTGCCGTCATCTTGGAAGTTATGGGCCACTGTCATGACCCATCCATCACCATAATGGAATCCTGTACCTCTGAATATAACTCGCTCGTTTTGATTCATATATTCAATCAAACAGACTGCATCTTTCAACCTAAAGGATGGAACACAAAGAAAACTGCAATTTAGCCATTGTTGCACACCCAGTCACATTGTTTCTTTGTTAACCTGCAGATTTTGTCTCTTCGCACTCTATAGCTTGGGTGATTGAAAACAATGGAAAATAACCCAGGTAAGACTGAAATTTGAGCGAGTTATTTTGGTAAGATGTTGCCAGTAGATTTATCAAAGAGGATGGAACTGAGTCGAAATTTTTTGTGACTAAATTTTCAAAGTCACTATTTTGTTAGTTTGCAACTTGAACGTAGCTTTGCAACTTTACCTTTGCAAATACTTATCGAACTAGTGATAGAGTTTAAGAAAAGAAGTCAAATACAAACTACTTTTTTACTGATGGGCATTTCTAGCCTTTCACCTTTAATTTGGAATGACCACCCATATGCTCTCCAGTAAAACAAGGACAAACGGCATTCAAGTCATCAACGGCTCTCATCATAATATATAGATTTAGCCAGGGCTAGAAGCGAAGTTCATGATAATATTTATAGTTTGCTCAAACAAATTATAAAATCGTGTAATGCTAAGCGCGAAGGCAACAAGAACGGTGAAGAAACAACAATAGGTCTTATAAGCAAAAAAGCAACTTTGCACGTACAGCACACTATTTTTTTCTACATTTCTTTGCCGTTGTTTTGTACGACTACAACTTAAGACTCCCAGAAACTTCCTACTAACAATTGTATTATGGAGGAAATATCGTCTGTGTTCTTGTTACCATTTTTGTCACTGCCGCTCACTTTCACCTCGGTGGCCGCTAGCATTTTTCATTTTCTCACCGCCGCTACAAAATTTTCATGTTGTTCTTCTAACAAAAAAATGTCTCCTTTGCTTTTTTCTCTCCCTCTAGCTCTCTGTTGCTCTTTTTCTCGTTGAGCTTCGCTGGCCTGTCGCCTACTTTCTCTTTTTCTCTGCCTTACTCTTCCTCTTTTCCGTATACGTGGACAGGGCAATTAATCTAAGCTTGATACTTTAGACAACACGGATACAGAAACGATTTCCGCTTTCTGTTTTCGTCTTTATTGACTCTCTTGTTGTACTCTGCTTCACAAGACGCTGGTGGCTATGCGGTTTCCCGCCAAAATAACCTCGAGTTGCAGTTGGGTTGCCATATACCTCTTGATTGAATTCATAAATATTTTATATTGGTATGCCTGTGGTGCGGACGGACGGCGGCCGGGCGGACGTCCGTACGTTCACCTGATCACCAAAAATTCTCGGATCGGTAGACTACCACATTTTCTTAGGTATGTGGCTACGCTCAAAAGCGCGCGTGCGTGGGACTCGGCCATAAAGCTTAATATAATTGAAAACTTCGAGTACATTTATTTCAAAAGAAGAAGGAAAGCAAAAACCCAAAACCATTAGGAATTAAATAGCCATGGAAATTACGTTTTTATAATCCTGAAAACACTTTTGCAGTAGAGCCAAGCCTAGAGAGAATGAGCTCTTGGTAGAGCATAATACTTGAGGCGTGAGGGAAAGTAAATTTGCCACTGTAAAGATATTTCTACTTCATTCATTCATCCTTGAATGAACTGACCGTGCGCAAGCTATTTCCTATCTTCAGGTTTTTGCTTTTAATTCCCTTTTTTTTTGTCTATGACAACGTTATTGCAGTTAGGTGTATGTACATCTATGGTTATCCTCTACAACTTCAAAAATATCTTCTACTTAAGACTTCGGTATATACACAAAACATGCCCAAGGATTTTCTAATGAAGTGAGTGTTTGATCGCGTGACCGTAACTATACGCGCATGAAAACCTTACTGGTAATTATTCATTCGGGAAGATATACTTTTCAGGTGTTCTAGGTAACCCAGCTAAAGATATTGCAAGATTCCGGACATATTTTTAATGCAGACCTTAAGCTGCTGGAGTTTAGCAAAGAAAGAGCATCGGGAAGAAATAGGGTTTGGCACTAACGACCTGGATATTCCGTGTGCAGCTAGTGGGGAAACACAAGCCATGCACATTCAAAGGGTCTGGTTCTGGGACGTACACTTCTCACCAGGGTTCTATCTAGGGTATTTGAGGGGTAGAAGCTTCCCCCCAAAATGCCCAGCTTCCCCCCAAAATAAAGTTATCATTACAGTATATAAGTAACTATATCGAAAAAATCATCCAGACGCGACGAGGTCAGTGCACAAGAAGTAAGTATGCCCTGTCTAAGGACACCATATGACAAGGAACATGAAGTATTGTAACAATGTCAGAACGTGATCAGGACTAAAAAATAACATTTCTCAAAATTGTCTCAAAATTTACCAGATTACATGTCAGCGCATATTTCAAAACCGAAGAACTTCTCCCCCAAACGATAAATCCTAGATAGAACCCTGCTCAAGGAGGGTGTTCAATTTAACCTTCTCTATGTCCCTGGCCTATTTCACTGCAAGTTAAAAATTAACTGGTCGCAATCAAAGTACCCTTTGAGCTATCTCATGTACGTTTATGTCAAACGTTTTTTTAATTATTATTAACTCGTTTTTCCGGCAGAAAAAGGCATTCCGAGATATCAGGTTAAAAAAAGACAGCGTTGAGTAACAACTATTCGAGAAAAGGATAAGTAATCGTTGCCCTTCTCTAGGACCTATTTTTTGTTGTTTGTTTTTTGTTTTAGAATAGTACGATCTTTATTACGCTTTTGTCGATGTAGATGGTTGATTACATGTACATCATGTACAGTCTAGTAGATTTACTTACAATAGAAGATTAATTAAATTTAATGAAAAAAACATGTGCAAGCGAGAAAGCTAAATGAACCAGTTGGTTTTCTTGTTAGCTCCCTGAACAATTTAGGTTCTAGGTAACAGGTAAAATCAAAAGAAATACAACGAAAACAACAACAACAACAACAACAACAAAGGATGAACTAATTTACACGAAGTATGTTGCTTCATCAGCAAGACGAAAATTTATTTCATTTGTTGTTCTGACGTGGTGTTTTTTCACCACGTCACATAAAAGAAATTTCCAGACTGTTTGACGGTTAAGTAGCCAGGTTAGATGTGTTCTATGGAGACTCATGTAGCTCACTTTCTCTTTCGGAGCTAGTAATAATACCTGCGAATAGATCTTTACAATAGATCAGTGAGCAGCACTTCTGCGAACTTCTTGAGTTGTAGAATGGTTTTATTTTCTACTACGCGTTTTGTGTGTCTAGCGTACACTTCATCAGGGATTTTCATTTATCAACTAAGAGTACCTGTATACCTAAAAACGAACTGCGTTTTACATAGAACACAAAACACCTACGAATTTGCGTATAGGAACTGCAAACCTCCTGATTCTAAGTCTAGGAAACAGGCACGCGGAGAAATATTTTGCAAGGTGTGTCATATTTGTAATGTTTTAGGGCCCACAGCTTTAGCTAAGACGTAGCTAGACGTAGGATTTAGACAAGTCGACCTCACGAGTTTCTAAGGGAGCGGAGTGAGCTGTTTGGGCCGCGAAGCGGCCGAGCGAGCAACGACGTACGTACATGTACGTCTATGCTAGACGTACAACCAACTTAAGGTGGCTCGACTGGATTTTTTGTGGGGGATAGGAAAAAGGCAGAATTTGCATCAAAAAGGACCCTCGGTTAAATCTCCCGAATATGCTAATAACCGGGTTAAGAAATTAGTGAAATATTATAACATCACAGCAACTCTTTGTAAGAGTTTCTGTGACGTTATAACCCGAGTAAGATAACTATTAAAGTATTGCATCCTACATTATTAATTATGAGCCGTGACGTTCACCGTCTCGGCTCTCACTGCTATCTGTGACACAAGCCAATTATTAGCATATTCCGGCTATTTCTTCCGAAAGTAATCGAGAGTTCTTTTTGATGCAAATTTATTTGTTTTTGCTAAATGTGCACGTGCATATGAAACTTGGAAACAATACCAGTGAATAATGAGGAAGCTCACTTGTAAACACAAAACCTGGGGCGAAAATTGGTTATATTTGAGGCCCTATTTTAAAGCCTTCTCTGTTTTCAATGTTCTTGAAACTTGCAGGGTATATTTATTGGCAATTGATCTCAGGATTGTCAAATTTATAAAAAAAAAAATAAAAAAAAAAATTATCGAGCGGTTTTTTGAAAAATGCGAAAATTGTAAGCATGGACCAAATTACGTGCAAAAACTGTAACAAAAGCAGCTGAATGCAAGTTAATAAAATTCTTCTTACTCGCGATCGCCCAGAGCAATTCCCCTCTTTTCCTGTACGCAGTTTTCAATGGAATCAAACCACTAGGAGATGAAGCCGGGTTTCAAAGCTTATCATTTTCTTAAAAAAATAGCCAATTGTGTAGATAGCATGCTATTTCACTGTTTTTATGATGCTTAAGACTTCGTTTCAACATATCTCGAAAACGCTCTCATAGAATTTGTTCAAACTTTGCCATAATTGAGGCAATTATGGCAGGTACAAACTCCCTTAAGCGATTTCTTAAAAAAACTCCCGGTACACAAAGATAAATAAAAAACGTAATGGCGTTGTTACGATGCCATGGTGACTCCGTCTGCCATAAGACCCAGATCATAAGAAATTTTCATCTTTATATAATACAGCTGTGGTAATCTTTTTCCCATATCTTTACTCGTGGCGTCATAGTTAATGCTCAAGCTTGGGAGGTATCCCCTCAAAAAAATCCAGTCGAGCCACCTTAAAGTTGGGATAAGCTTAAATAGGAAAGGAAACTAAGGCACGCTTCTGAGCTTGTCAACAGCGACAGCACATTCCCGTCCAATTAAAGGAGACCTCTTCTTAGTCATCAATGCATTAAGGGGAGTGTCTATATATGTTAAAAAACCCCTGACAAAACGCGTATAATAATTCGTAAGACCCAAGAAATTTCTAAGTTCCTTCAAGCTAGTTGGAGTGGGAAATTCTTTCACGACATGCACCTCAGTATCTAGGTTAGGACTTACACCTTCAGGGGTTACAAGGTGACCAAGATATTCTACCTTTTGTTTGACAAAACTA